TTATAAAAAGTCAAATACAATGAATTTGTTTATTAAAATAGTGTTTGGGACTTCTGGAAATTTTAGGATTCCATGAATTAGTTCATATTTCTCTTTTTTTCTGATCCTTTATCTAACTGATAATACACAGATGGTTTTAGAGACACCACCTTACATGCTGAGGATAAAATACACAGTTACTGTTCTCAAGGAACTTACAATCTAGTGAGGGTGACAGATAAGGAAACAAGCAATTGCAACTTAGGATAAGTGGGAGAAGGGCTGCCTCACCAGTCTTGAGGAAGGAAAGATGGGGAAGGGGCTAAGAACATTTATAGTGAGTCCTGAAGAATGAACGGAATGGTTAAGGCAAAGGAAGCGAAGGTTATAGCATTCCTGAAGTTTGTGGAGGTAAGAAACACCTTTTGCATTTGGGGACACGTAAGTAATTCAGTATGGCATCATAATTGTGTTTTGGAAAGTCTACTAAACAGGAGACCGAATACTGAATGGGGCAGTGTCAAACTGGAAGTAGGGCTACTAATTAAGAAGCTATTGTGGTAATCTGGTCAAGATAAGAAGAAAAGTAGAGTTTAATATGTAAATACAAATGGCACCAAGTTAGTTTAAGTTCACTTAGTGTCTAGTCACTAGGTGTTCAATGATACTTAAGAGCTCTCCTTGGTTTCCACACTCACATTGTTGGTTTTGACTCAATGATAGGAAAGGAATAGAAGAGACTGCAAAGGAAGATAAAGCTGAGACTGGAAGGAGGAAGAAATGTTATCCTGAGTATATAATGTAAGCTATTGTGATTGCTGGAAACTGTTTCTATGAAAACATGATTACTACATTAACACTTCGTAAAGTATCTAACAAAGTTAGAAGATTTACAATAACTATATTTTCTCATTTAGGTTTCATGTAAGCTTGAAAATAATTAAAAATTATAAAATTGCCTGTCAATGTGATAAAAAATAAAGCATTAAGAACACAATGTTTTCCTTACCAGAATGGAGTGCATTCCCATGTAAATTCTACTTAGGCAAACTAGAGAACACCAGCAGGCAATAAGAATCAGTCCATACAAAAGAGGATACTAAAGGAGGGGAAAAAAGTAAAATTAGTTAAACAAATAAGTTAGATATAAACAGCAAATAAAAACCAAATCACTATACTATAAACTCCCTGAAAATAAGAAGTATGTAATTTGATTCCCCATTACATTCCCAGCACCTAACCCTGAGCACAGCACACAGCAGACATTTAGGAAATACTTCTGCGCAAATGAACAAATGAATGAAATCTCATGAGTCTACACTCTTTATTGTGGGAACTGGCTCATTTCTGCATCTATAGTAAAGATTCAACTGCTAGCATTCTACAGAATGAGGACAGACAGGATCATACTTTTAATACGGCTTCCAAAATGAAAAAGCCTCAGGAAAAGTACCTGAATTTGGTCCATATAAATGTCCTCACTTCCCTGGGGAGAAGAACTGGGGGTTTTCTCCCTCTCACTTCCATCAGTGACCGCTATCTGCAATTTGTGTTGACACTCCTCCTCCTTGTATTCAATACTCAACACCTTGTACTAAGTTCTCCACTTCTGTCCCATCCACTAAAATTTTAAATGGTAACCAGTTTACTGAGAAAAATTTTAGTGGAATACTGGGAAAAGAAACCATAAAAAGGGAAAAGGTATAACCAAAGTATAGACAACTCTTGGCATCAATGGCATTAGTGGATGAGTTGGCTTTGAATGCCTTGAGATTACAGGGAAGCAGGAAAGGATAGATGGGCATGGTGGTAAGTTTGTAAAGGAGGATGAAGGGAGGGCACATTTAGGACAGTTTATGCTTGATGACTTCAAATTTCTCAATGAAACTGAAGCCAAGGTGGTTGGAGAAGTAGGGTTGAAAAAGGGAGTAAGGGAGTTAAGTATGGTTGTAAAAAGAGTGGTAAAGATTTAGCACATAGTTTTTGTTTATTGTTTTTTAAAGAGACAGGCTGTCACTACCCTATGCTGCCCAGGCTGGGATGCCGTGGCTATTCACAGGTGTGATCATAGCTCTCTGCAGCCTCGAACTCTTGGGCTCAAGCCATCCTCCTTCCTCAGCTTCCTGAGTAGCTGGGACTACAGACAGAGTCTGTTTTGATTTGACTTCTCTACTATAGTTAACATGGCCCTCCAATTTCTTCTTGAAACTCTAAATACCCTTGATAGTCATAGCTTCACACTCTTCTCTCCTGGTTCTCCTTTCATCATTTTTTTTCCGTGTTTCTCACACAAGAGTGTATCCTCCTCTTCATGTTCCTTAAACACAAGTATAAAGAAGGATTCCGTCCTTAGCAGTTATTAACAGTCTTACCCTTTCTGATTTTTAAACTACTACCGAAGCATGCTGAAGACCTACCCGTTTCCCTGGTTTAAGAGCCATATATCCAACTCCTGCACATATCCACCTTGAGGTCCCTATGGAGCTACACTCACTATACCTCAAACCAAGCCCATCATCCTATCACTCGAACTTGTACCTCCTCTCATATTCCCTATTTAATTTGGAAACATCAAAAACCACATAATCTAAATGAGAAGCATGGTTTATCCTTCATTCCTTCCTTATCCCTTGTATTCAACCAATAACCAAGTTTCACTAATTTTATCTGCTAAATATTCCTTCATCTGTCATCTCCTCTCCATCCTCACTTATACTGCTCTTGCTCAAATCCTCAGTTTCTTTCCTAGGCTCTACTGATTTCTCCAGCCATTTTTCCACGGGCATGAGGCAGACAGCCATGTAACCATACATGAGGTAAGTGCTATGACAGGAGTATACTAAACATTCAGAGGCAGCCTAGGGGATAAGCATCGAACTTCACTTAGGGATGTTAACAAAGCTTCCTAGATAATGTAAGATTTAAGTTATCCTGAAAGATGAGTAGGATTTCATCAGAGAAAGGAAGGAGTGAGGACAGGACAAAAAACCGCAGGAACAACATGAACAAAGGCTTGTAAGAAATTGTAAATATTAAATTTTGGGGGAGAATAAGCACTTCTATTCTTCTTGGGGTAGGTACTACATAGCAAGCACAAAAACATGCAAATTATATGACATAAATATATACAAATTAT